GTGGGACCAGGCTCGTTCTCTCCGCAGGGAGGACAGTGTGTCCAGGCTGCTGGACGCCGAGAGCAGGGGAACCGGGCCAAGTCGGCCTGAACTATCCCAGAGGAGGCCGCCCCGGATCAGCCGCAGACGTGAGCCGCCGGCCACCCAGCACTGACCCCGACACTCGGCGGACCCCGCTGACGTCAGCCCAGCTCAGCCCAGCCCCACCGAAGCAGAACCCACGCCTCGGGGACTACAGCCCTACTACACACAGCTGAGGTTTCCTGATTGTTTATGCAGCGTTGCCATGGCAACAGATAGCTGACATTCTGATCCACAAGCCTACAAGCAATGCTCCTTCTGCCATCGTCAGCTGTGAGTTGTGTCTGTGACTTGCTCTAGGAAGGTAAATCAGAGAAAAACACAGGGTCAAGGGAGAGGCTGAGGTAGGAAAGACTGCAGCACGCTCATAGGGAGAGGCCTGGGGTCGAATGTGTTTGGTTGAAAAAAAGTATGTAAAAATAATGGTGCTATAGTTTCCTATGGCCTGGAGTAGTGGTGCACGCCTATAATCCAAGCACTCGGGAGGCTGAGGCAGGAGGATGACTGTGAATTCAAGGCCAGCCTGGGCTACAAAGTAACTTCAGAACCATCCTGGATTACACAGTAAATTCAAAGCTAGCCTGAACTACATAGCAAGACCTGTCAAAAGAAAAAAACACTGCAGTTTCCTATCTACCGTCTCCTATGGAAGCCTACGCTGGTGTGGCAGTTCTCCTTCCCTCTGTTGCTCCATCACCCAGGAACGGAATGCTCCAAGACGGTCCTGTAGGCCGGAGATGGCTCCCCCTACATCCACACTGCAGTCACTGGAACGGGACACAGGAGGACGCAACCTTTATCCTCAATACCGGATGCCCACGTTCATTTATTTCTACCCCTTTCAACTCAGGCTCGGAAATTGGTCACGTGACCAAACTCTACCACAGGGGAGGCTGGGAAATTGGTCACATGGCCAAACTTAGCTGCAAGGGAGTTTGGGAAGTACCAACTGTTCTGGCCAATAAAGTGTGTATGTAAACACTTTCTGTGGAGGGGGCAAGCAGGTGCTCCCTGCCTGTTAAAGGGGAAGAAGAGATGATAAGTAGAACAAGATCTCTATGGCAGACCTTCTGAGCCACTTTCTTCCTTGTCAAGGGGGCACGGTAGGGCAACTGGGCATAAAGCATTGTCTTACTTCCTGGGGAGGGAGGAGAGCTTGCTGGCACCCCCCTGGTGCCTCTGTGAGGAGCAGGGTGGGCTCCAGGGATGAGGTGTGGAGGGGAGGAGGTGAGAGTGTGCCATCCGCAGGGAGCACTGCTGAAGCGAAGGAAACCAAGTGGAGCAAACCGAGTGAATCAGCCCAGAAGCCTGCTAGGACTTTGTATACAGCAGGGTGATTTATTGTCAGAATGACCTCATCTCAAGTGGGGCTGGGGCTGGTGCCCCCTGTGCCTGAGTCAACACCAAACACCAAAGCATGACAGGGACTTTCTCCTCTTTCTTTATTTTTCTTTCTTTCTTTCTTTCTTTCTTTCTTTCTTTCTTTCCTTTCTTTCTTTCTTTCTCTCCTTTTCTCTCTCTTTCTTTCTTTTTATATTTTGAGACAGGGTCTCACTATGTAGTTCACGCTGGCCTCAAACTCACAGCAATTCTCCTGCCTCAGCCTCCTGAGTGCTGGGATTATAGGTGTGTGCCACCACACCCGATGGCACTTTCTCTTTGCGGGTTTAACAGGTCACCCATCTCTTCCTCCCTGGGAGAGTCAAAGGACGTTTGTATTGGAAAATCTAGGCCCAGGCAGAGATCTAGACTCTGTGGGTGAGTATGAAGTGTTGATTTGAAAAGTTCACAGAGGAGGCAGTCTTGGTGGTACACACCTGTATTCCCAGCACCTGGAAGGCTGAGGCAGGAGGATCACTGCAAGTTTAATTCCAGCCTGGGCTGAGTGAGACCCTGTCTCCAAAAAATAAAAAACGGGGCTGGGGATTTAGCTCAGCTGCACAGCACTTGCCTGGCAAGCGTGAGGTCATGAGTTCGATTCCTGGTACCGGAAAAAAAACCCAAAAAACAAAAAACAAAAAACAAAAAACAAACCAAAAAATAAAAAATAAATAAAACAAAGAAAACCACATTGCTACTAACAAAGAAGAGAAAATAGGTGTCACGAGGGAAATGTAATGATGTCTGCTGCCATGCAGCTTAATAAATACAAGCTTTACTTGCATAATAAGTAGTAACTACCCCTGACATAAAGTAAAAAAAAAAAAAAAAAAAAAAAAAAAAAAAAAAACCACTTATATGGCACAGTGCTTACTATGTGCCAGGAACTGTTCTGAGTGTTTAAAAATGTATTAACTGAGATGGGCATGGTGGCGCACGCCTGTAATCCCAGCACTCAGGAGGCTGAGGCAGGAGGATCGTTGCAAGTTCAAGACCAGCCTGGCCTACAAAGTGAGCTCAAGGCCAGCCTAAACTTCAAAGTGAGACCCTGTCTCAAAAAGACCAAAAAATAAAAAATAAAATAAAATACTAGTGTTAGCCAGGCGTGGTGATGCACACTGTAATCCCAGCACTCGGGAGGCAGAGGCAGGAGGATCACTACCAGTTCCAGGCCAGCCTGGGCTACACAGTGAGCTCCTGACACAAAAACACAAAACTGTTTTTAATGAGTCCCCGTCTGCGCTACGTGAGGATTCCTTTCCTCGTGGGGCGTCAATCCCTGTACACAACACAGCTTCTTTCATCTTACTTCCCCGCTTCCCCCTCACCCCACCCCCGTCCTCCACCACAACCCGTTTTCCTAACCACTTGCCCTGTGATTCTAGTGGTGTTGAACGACCTCATCAGAGCCTGCAAGACTTGCAACGACACTTTGCAAACAACCCATCCCATGCTGTGTGTGGCCCATTCCTGACCCCGGGCCACCAGGCACAGTCTGACCCGGAAGGACTTCGGGAAGACCTGGCTGGGCTCCAGGGTGCAGAGAGCGGGAGTTCCAATGGGGAGGACATGCTGCGGGCGGGGGAGGGCAGAGAGCGGAGGCTCACCGGTGAGCGCTTCCTCCTGGGGGTGACCCTTGCTTCCATGATCTTGGATCATGCGCGCAGGGATTCTGTAACTCTCCTCCTCTGGAACGTGGGTCAGCCTAGATGACTCACTTCTGAAGCAGCATCACCGCGGGTGATGCGCGTGGTGGTGCACAGCGGCAATCCAGCGCTCCGAGAGGCTGAGGCAGGAGTGTCAAAAGTTCAACCGGAGCCTGGGAAATTTAGTGACTTAAGGAGACCCTGTCTCCATAAAAAAAAAAAAAAAAAATAACATAAGTCAAGTCAACCTCCTGTTATGGTTTGTCTCTGGGTGTCCCCCCAAAGCCTCATGCAAGCCACGGGGCAGGCTTTTAGAGTTTGATTGATTGTGGGTGTGAGAGCTACACCTGCCCTGGGGTGGATAGTTTGCATATGTAAGGGAGAGAAAGAGGGTGCTTCTGGCCATTTCCTCCCTTTTTAGTGTTTTGTTGCTTTGCTGTGTTCTGTCGCCATGAGCTGTAGCTCTCTGCCATGTGCCAGTCTGCCTTATAATCTGCCAAGTACGGACTGAAACCTCCGCAAACTGTAAGCGAAATAAACCTTTCCTTCCTTAATTTTGGGCGTCAGGTATTTTGTCCCAGCAACGAGAGAAAAGTAACCAAGCTACCTCCTCTCCTTTAAAATGAAAGATTAAATTTAAATTCATAGGGCCAGGGATATAGCCCAGCAGCACAAGCGCCTGCCTGGCAAGTGTAAGGTCCTGAATTCGATTTCCGGTACTAAAAAAGAAATTTAAATTTATAAGAAGGCTGGTGATGTACCTCAGTACAAAGGCCTTGGGTTCATTCTCTAGTACCACCACCACAAACCACCACCACCACCACCAAAAAAAAAAGTGTTGCTATAGGGCTTCAGAAGCCAGTTTAAAAATAGAAAAAAAAAAAAAAATAGGAAGCTAGTTTAAGAAAAAGTAAATTGCCGTGTGTGGCCAGGAGTGGTGGTGCATGCCTGTCATCCCAGCACTCAGGAGGCTGAGGCAGGAGGATTGCCATGATTTTGAGGCCAGCTTGGGCTACATAGTGAGTTCAAGGGCAGCCTGGACTACATAGCGAGATCCCATCTCAAAAAAACAAAAAAGAAAGAAAGACACAGTGGGACAGCTTGCACCTGCGTGCTCTTTGAGCACACAGGGCGGCCAGTCCTCAAGATGCAGAGAAGCCCACAGGAACCATTTATACAGCGTGCTGTGTAGCCAAACTGTTTTATTTGTGTTTGCAGCTGCTAGAAATCAGGACTCAAGCTTGTACTTGTGTGCTCCACCCGCTACATCCCTAACTCCTAGTAGATCTTTCCTATGATTTCTTATATCCACATATATTTCAACTTTTTACTTAATGTAGTAATAAAAAGAAATCCTGCCGGGCGATGAGACAATAAATAAATAAAGTAAATAGACTAAGAAAATTTTGTTATGCATATTATGTATATAAAACCATATTCAAAATAAAATTAAAATATTATAATTGTTTTATAATCTGATATTTACTGCCGTTCCATTTCTGGTGTTTTCCACAAAGCCTTGTTCCTACATTTGTTTTTTGTTTTTGTTCTGTTGTTTTCTGAGACAGGGTCTCACCATGCAGTGCAGGTCAGCCTTGAACTCGTGGTGACCCTCCTGCCTCGGCCTCCCGAGTGCTGAGATGCCAGGCATGCGCCACCACGCCTGGTCCTACTTGTTATGGTTGTGCTTTGCCCCTTGTCTTCTGGAGTTGAACACTTAGCTCACGAGTCCGTCTTCTTTTCTGTTCTAAGGCTCTAACCGTCTCGGGCAGCACGTCTTTCTCTCGAGCCTGCAGGTCCAGGGCGGTCACAGAGCAGTGACTGCCAGGGCCAGGGGGCCCCACTTGGCTTCTGCAACTGCTCATCCACAGGGCTCCTGTGCCGCCTGCTGATCTCCTGGGCCCCCTCGCTCAGTTCTGAACCGTGCAGCTGACTGTCACCACCGAGGGCCGCGATGGACATGCAGGGGTCTGCTGGGAGAAGTAAGGGCACCCTTGAAACCACCTTTTCATAACCCTGACTAGATAGAAAAATCACTAGGAAGCCAGGCTTAAACGCCTGTCATTCCAGCGCTCGGGAGGCAGAGGCAGGAGGATCGCTGTGAGTTCAAGGCCAGCCTGGGCTACACAGCAAGACCCTATCTCAAAAAAGAAAAAAATAATAATAATAATAATAATTCATTTAAAAAAGTGGAGCCAGGGTGAAGAACCACTGCTCCAAGTCCCCAGCCCCTGATGGACCTGTCCCCCTCCCCGCTCCACAGGGCATCACTCCAGACAGACCTCCGTCTGCCCGGTGCTGTCATTTCCTGGCTCCTCCACGCTGCTCTCTGCGGTTTCCAGGTGGCCCGGGGCAGGGGACAGACGGCCCAGGAAGTGGCAGAGGCTGGGCCCGCTCACGTTGCTTGTCTCCACAGCAGGCCTGGGCGTGAAGGAGGCGCGCTGGTACGGGATGACGGCCCGCAGGGGCACGGTGCTGGCGGGCTCCTTCTCCATCATGGTCACGCACCTGTACCTCATCTTCGAGCGGAAGCACCTGGCCTTGGTCAACTGCACCGAGCCCGCCCTGGCCAGCAGGGGCATCCAGGACGTCTTCAGCCGCTTCATCATCTGCTGGAGCCTGGCCATCATGGTGCTCCTGGCGCTGGTCACCCTTGCAGTCAGCACCTTCCTCCTGTACTCCGTGTACGCCCAGGTCTACCGGGGCCTGCTGCTCTACATCTTCTGGATCACCTGCTTTGAGGCCGTCAACCTGGCCGTGCAGATCCTCACCGACAGCTTCAGCAGCGGGGCCATCAGAGCCATGCGCTGGTTCTGCTTCCTGTCCCGCACGGTCACGCACTGCTTCTGGCTGTCCTTCGTGGTCACCTACGCGCGCCTGAGCTACAAGAGCCAACAGCAGGGTGACATCCTGTCCTACAGAAGGCGCGGCTCCACAGCCACCAGGAAGTCACAGTGGTAGCAGCGAGGCCGGGGTGGCCTTGGTCTTCTTCCCCAGGGACGTCCCGCCCCGTGCTTAGGGTGCCTCTGTTTCCCTTTATTTTGTTGTTGTTTGCTTTGCCCGAGCCCGTGCTGCCACTCTTCCGGGGGAACGCGCCCAGGAAACTCAATGGCCAGCACAGCTGGGGCACCCGGGCCTGGAGGCCTGGAACAGCCCCGCGGAGGACCAGAGCCCCACCTTCCGCCTTCCGCTCGGGTCAGTCCCACCTTCTCGGGCAAAACCCGAGCGCACAGCGGCCCTGCGGCACCTTCAACCCCTACCCTCGCTCCTGACTTAACCCGGGAAGGGCGCCGCCGCGTTTACACCTGGGGTCCTGGCAACACAGAGGATTCTCTTGGCCGCGCCGCGGGTTTGGGCTGCGGCTGCCTCGCTGAATCCCCTATGCTGAATTCTACAGCAATAGAACAATAAAAATAGAGAAAAAAAATCGTTCTTCAGTTTCTGTCTTGCGTTTTTCCTGGCCTTTGTCAAACGCCACAGGCACTTGGTTAGTGAAAGGGTAGATATTAAGGCAGGCCGGGCGGCACACGCCTGTCATCCTGGCACTCTGGAGGCCGAGGCAGGAGGATCGTTGTGAGCTCAAGGTCAGACTGGGCTACACGGTGAGACACTATCTCAAAAAAACTCTTTAACGGGTAGATGTTAAACTTATTTCTGTGCCGGCCACTTTGGGGGGCAGGGGTACCAAAAGACTGTAAGGCATGAGGCCTGACCTTGAGGATTCCAAGGCGTGGGTGACGCAGCCGGTGATCCGTACGGCAGCATGTGACTGTCACGCCCAGGCCCAGAACGCGTCATGAGCATGTTAGGCTGTGGTGAAAAAAGATCCGGGCAACTTCCGCCTCACGCCTTGGACCCGATGTTGCCTTTTTGTTGAATAGCTTCTAAAGGTACAGCCGATGCATAATGAACTGCGCGTATGGACAGCAGGTTTCCATCCCAGGGGGCCGTCACGAAGGCCGCGTTTCCGAGCCCGCCGCACCGCGCACCCACGTTGGCGTGCGCGTTTCCGTTCGTTCTTCTCTTCTGTATTTCCTGGTATGAATGCACCGCGGCGTGTTTCTCCCCTCACCAATGGAAGGGCATCTAACTGCTTTCAGCTCTTAGTAATCATAAAAAAGAACACATGAGTCACTTGTGTACACGACTCACACTCTAGGCTGGGCCTGGTAGCGCATGCGGGTGATTCCAGCACGCAGGAGGCTGAGGCAGGAGGATCTTTGCGAGTTCGAGATCAGCCTGGGCTACAAAGTGAACCCAAGGCCAGCCTGAATTGCGCAGCAAGACCTTGTCTCAAAAAAAAAAAAAAAAAAAAAAAAAAAAAAGACTCGCATTCTCCTGTACCTTAGGAAATATTACGTGCTCTTTTTAAGAAACTGGCAACTTGCCAGGTGTGGTGGCACATGCCTGTAATCCCAGCACTCGGGAGGCTGAGGCAGGAGGATCTTTGTGACTTCGAGACCAGCCTGGGCTACAAAGTGAGCTCAAGGCCAGCCTGAACTGCAGAGCGAGACCCTGTCTCAAAAAAGACAAAAATGGGGCTGGGGATTTAGCTCAGCGGCAAAGCGCCTGCCTGGCAAGCGCAAGGTCATGAGTTTGATTCCTGGTACTGGAAGAAAAGACAAAAACAAACAAACAAACAAAAAGACAAAACAAAGAAAAGAAAAAGAAACTGGCAACTTTTTTTCCCAGAGCAGCTGCACCATCTCCTATTCCTGGGGGTGCTGTGGGACAATCCACCTCCTCCACGCCTGCCCCAGCACTGAATGTAGGCGGCTACCTTGTCATCAGAGCATTTCTCATAGGTTCACAGTGGTATTTCTCTGTGGTTTGATTCAAGTTTCCCTGATGACAAGTGACATCAAGCCCTTTTTCATGTGCTTACATCTTCTTTGGCAAAGTGTCCATTCAAATCTTTTGCCAATATATATAGCTTTTTTATTGTCAAGCTTGGACAGTTCTTTACATTTTATATTTTCTGGACAAAAGGCCTTTATCAGATACACGATTTGTAAATGTTTTTCCAGTTCATGCCTTGTTTTTCATTCCCTTACCAGGCTCACGTGAAGACCAGAGGTGTTACCCACACTCCCTCGGTACCAGGAATCAAACTCACAACCTCGCGCTTGCCAGGCAGATGCTGTGCCACTGAGCTAAATCCCCAGCCCCAAGACCAGAGGTTTTGATTTCAGTGAAACCCAATTTATCAATTATATGGGTCATACTTTTGTTTTGTACTGGGAATCAAACTCACAGCCTCGCACTTGCCAGGCAGGTGCTGTGCCGCTGAGCTACATCTCTGGCCCCCATACTTTTGGTTATTGTATCGGTCAGCTTTCCTGTTGCTGGGACAAAAATACCTGAAACCCATAACTTAAAGGAGAAGAGATTTAACGTGGTTCATGGTTTTGGGTGTTTAGTCCATGGTCAGCTGCCTCTAAAGCACAGATACATGGCGGAAATACCTGGTGGAAGAAAAAGGCTCATCTCATGGTGACCAGGAAGCCGAGGTGGAAGGGCGGAGCCTGGAAGGGAGATAGGCCACGCCCTCTGAGGCCACGCCCTCAGGTTTGTCTCTGCTAGCCAGCCGCCCCCCAAGGGTGCACCCACCTGTGAACGGAATGGGTGACTCCACTAATGCGTACATAGCCCCCAGTACATGAGACTTTGGGGGGATTTTGGAGGAGTCTAAACCCTAACAAGGTCTGCCCTTTCTTTTGTCAGATTCATTTTATATTTTTATGCTTTTGAGGTTATTGCAAAATGGTGTTCTTTCTTCAACTTCAACTCCTAATTGTTGTCAGTATACAGAAATAAATTACCCTTGCATGTTTTGAGACAGGGCCTCACTAAATTGCCTGGGCTGGTTTTGAACTTGGAATTCTCCTGCCTCAGTCTTCCCAGTAGCTGGTATGTGCCACCATACCCGGCTATTTTGTTACCTTATTAAGCATAATTTTTGTGCTATATTCCTGGCTGTTTGTACGGTCTGGAGTGTGCATCTCTAATTCATCAGCTTATCTTTACCTATTTTTCTTTGTTCTTTATTTATTCTTTGGGTTTCTCATATAAGAGAAACCATGTTAGCCAGGCGTGGTGGCGCATGCCTGTAATCCCAGCACTCGCGAGGCTGAGGCAGGAGGATTGTTGTGAGTTCGAGACCAGCCTGGGCAACAAGTGAGCTCAAGGCTGGCCTGAATTGCATAGCGAGACCCTGTCTCAAAAAGGCAAAAAAAAAAAGAGAAACCACGTGATATTTAAGTTTATGGGTCTGATTTATTTCACTTAACATTATGGTCTCAACATGCATCCATTTTCCTACAAATGACTCAAGTCTCTCCTTCTTTATGGCAGAGTAGTACTCCATGGCGTGTAGATACCTCATTTTCTTTATCTGCTCATCTGTCCGTGGACATTTGGTCACTGGGAGCTGAGCTGCTATCAACGTGGGCGTGCTCGGATCCTTAGAATGCGATGTCTTTAACTGGGGGTGCTGAGGGGTGGAATGGGTGCTAGCTAGAGTGTTCTAAGGATCCTGGAGGGGCACTGGCCCTGCCTGCGGCCCGGGCTCCCCCAACCCTGAGCCCTCTGGCTCTACCTGACTTGGGGGCTGGGCCTGGCCTCTCGGCAGAGCCCCTAAATCTCACATCCTAACCCTTCCCGCCACTGGCTACTGGCCCTGGGAAGAGCCTGGGTGCTGCCCAGCAGGCAGCAAAGCAGGAAAGAAAGGAAAGGGTGAGGGATGACCCCAAGCTCCTGAGGAACCTTGATAGTTTTCTTTCTCTTCTCTCTCTTTCTTTTTCTTTCTTTCTTCCTTCCTTCCTTCCTTCCTTCCTTCCTTCCTTCCTTCCTTCCTTCTTTCCTTTCTTTCTTTGTATGAAACAGGGCCTCCATATGTAGCCCTAACTGGACTCAAACTCTTGGTGATCCTCCTGCCTCAGCCTCCAGAGTGCTAGGACTACAGGTGTGTGGCATCACCCCCAGCTGATTTTTTTTTTTTTTTTTTTTTACCGGAAATCAAACTCACTACCTTGCACTTGCCAGGCAGGCGCTTGTGCCGCTGAGCTATAGCTCCCCCCCAATCGTTATCCTTTTTCAGAATGCACTCCGTCCTATTCCAGATCGGGGAGCTGCCGGGGGCTCCCAAACCTTGCACCTGTTAACAGCAACCGCAGGGTGAGGGCGACCCTGGGATGACCCCGAGCCAGTGGGGCCGGGAGCTAGCTCGGTCCCAGCGGGGACCAGGTCTCACGCCCCTCGACTTCCGGCCGGCCCTGTGCGCACGCTGCCCCTCCCTCCCCCTAGCGAGTTCCCGGCCGGCTGTGGCTTCTTGTCACGTGCTCCGCGGTCCCTTCCTGCAGGAGACGCCGGTGGTGGGACGCGGCTCCATGGACGCCAGGAAGGTGACCCTGCTGGTCGGCCTCTTCTCCATCCTCAACACCATCCAGTTCTTCATCTTCAGCTTCCACCAGCTGACGCACCTCGGCTACGAAGACAAGTTCAGCCTCTACCTGGACACGACGTCCAAGGTGGTGTCGTGGCTCCGGAACCATAAGAGCAAGATAATCAGCCTCCTGTCCGTGCTCACCGTCGCGGTCAGCTGCACCCTCCTCTACAGCGTCCACCGGGACAGCTACAAGGGCCCGCTGCTCTACGCGCTGTGGATCGTGCTCTACGAGCTCACCAGCTTCTCCCTGGAGCTGCTCACCGGCGGCCTCATCCGGAAGCGCTTCCAGGTGCTCCCGCGCCTCTACTCCTTCCTGCAGGGCTCGCGCATGGTGCTGCACTTCGCCTGCCTGCCCAGCGTGCTGCGGCACGCCTACGAGCTCTTCAAGGCCTTCAAGGTGGTCAGCAAGGTCGGCCACCGCCGCCGCTCCTCGGTCAGCACCTTGGACTCGTTGCAGGCCACCGGGATGAAGCTCATGTATCGCAGGCTCACCTAGGGAGGCCCTGGCCGGAGCCCTCTGTCCCAGCCCTGCTGCCTCCACCCAGTTCCGGAGCTTCGGGGTCCTTGAGGAGTGGCCCTGGGAGGGAGGCGGGCGTGGGTCGGTCGTCCCTAATAGCACCAGCCTCTTGCTTACGTAACCATCTCGTGGGTGTTTTGTCTCCGCTGCCTGCTTGCTCTCCGGCTCAGTTTCCTCCTGTGCATGCCCGGCTCTGCCGAGCCCTTCTGCAGCAGGGCTGCCCACGGAAATTACTGTGCAAACCGCGGTGATAGAGGCTGAGGCAGGGGAACCACCGCAAGTTCCAGGCCAGCGAGTTCAAGGCCAGCCTGAACTACATGGTGAGACGCTGTCTCAGAAAACAGAAAGAAAGATGGCGCACGCCTGTAATCCCAGAACTCAGGAGGCTGAGGCAGGAGGATTACTGTGAGCTTGAGGCCAGCCTGGGTTCCATAGTGAGTTCAAGGCCAGCCTGAGCTACCTAGGGAGACCCTGTCTCAAAATATAAAAGGAAGGAAGGAAGGAAGGAAGGGAGGAAGCGCTGTGCCATGCAAATGCTCCCCCCTGCTGTCCACCTCCACACATGACTGGCTCTTAAGCCCATGGCCATTACACCCAGGGGCTGAATGTTATCAACTTGATTCCATTTTAATTCATTTTAAGTTCAACAGCCATGTCTGGCTGGCTCAGAGCTGCCTATTGGGAACATTAGCTTCCAGTGACTTAGTTTACGCTGGCCTAGACCCAGAGACCCCCGTGTCACTCTGCTTCCTTGCTTCCCAGAAAGCAGTTCCTCATGTTAGTTCCTAATAGGAGAATCCCCATTCAAGAAAAGCTCCAAGAGCTGGGCATGGTGGTGCAGGCCTGTAATTCCAGGCTACAAAGTGAGCTCACTTCAGGTTTAATGCTAACCTGAACCGCACAGCGAGACCCTGTCTCAAAAAGACAAAAAAAAAAATTTAAAAAAAAAAAAGAATGATCACTTTATTGTTTGAAACAAGATCTCGCTGTGTAGCCCAGGCTGGCCTGGAACTCACAATGATCCTCCTGCCTCAGCTTTCCAAGTGCTGGAACTGCAGGTGTGCTCCACCTGGCAAGAACCACTATTTAAAATGGACTCACTTCAGAGCTGAGAGTTTACAGCCACTGATTTACTCCCCAAAGTACTGTTACTAAGATAAAAGGAGAGCCGTACACCAAGCACAGAGACACACATCCATAATCCCAGCTCCTTGGGAAGCTGAGGCAGGAGGATGGCAGGTTTGAGGCCAGCCTGGGCAACTTAGTGGCAACCTGCTTCAAAATAAAAAAGCTGGGAGCAATAGTGGACACCTGTCATCCTAGTACCTGGGAGGCTGAGGCAGGAGGATCACTGTAAATCCAAGACCAGCCTGGACTAATAGCGAGGCCCAGTCTCCAAAAACAAAACATATACATCACACACACACTCACACAAAACAAAAGATAAAAAATAAAAAGGGGCTGGGGTGTGGTTTAGTGGTAGGGTGTTTGCCTACCAAACCAGAGAGAAGAAAAAGAAAGAAAGAAACTTGTTTTAGGCTACTTCCACTGCTCTCAAAAACTGCGTGCATAAAGGGACACTGTTTGGGCTCGATCGCTACAAAGCAGGAGCACAATAATGATAATTCGCTTTTACTGGACACCTAGCAGGCGCCAGGTACTACTGTAACAAAATACAATCCACATCACCCCCGGGAGCTTTGGGCCGGAGGCAGTTCCCGCTGTGACCACAAGATGGCAGTCGGCGATAAGCTTTCGCTTAACAGCGCCGCCCCCGCCCCCAAGGATGACTGAGTGGGGGTCTTACGGTGCCTGGCGCTGATGAGCTGGAGCTGGTGGCCTCACGCAGGCAGGCCTCCTCCGGTTGTGACTGGCTAGTACAGAAATGCAAAACAAAACCTGGGCAGACTTCCGGGTTCCGACCCCCCAGCCTCGTGGAGGTGACTGGGTGAGGATTGGGGGCCTGAGACGTGAGTGTGGAGGAGGAGCCGAGAGAAGCATGACCCGAGGACTTGGGAAGGTTTAAGACACACAGACACCACACTGCTCCCTGGGCCGCGTGTGCTGGCGCACCCCTGTGATCCTAGCACCCAGAAGGCTGAGGCAGGAGGATCCCTGCGAGTTCGAGACCAGCCTGGGCTACAAAGTGAGCTCAAGGCCAGCCTGAACTCCATAGCAAGACCCTGTCTCAAAAAAACAAACAAACAAAAAAAAGTGAGCTACTTCTGATGATCATCGCTAAAGAACTGTTTAACTTTCATTTTTACACAAACACAAATCACACAGACACACAAACACACACATACAAACGCAGCCTTCACAAGTACCTGTAAAACTCTACATGCACAAACAATGACACATATACAATGTACGCACACACCTGCATATGTACACACACACACACACACACACACGTTCACAGCCTTTGCTGAGGAAATGAGAGACGTGGTCAGAGAGACGCAGAAATGCTACTTCCCAGGGAAGGAAAGCACCGCTTACCTGTGGGTCAAGATGAGAGTATCTGAAGAAGCTTCTCTTTCCCCAGTGAGTGGTGGGGCGGGAAGGGTTGGGGAGCGGACAGAGGAGGCCGGGTGTGGGGCCCGAAGATCTCTGGCCTTTCAGGAAACTCCTTCTGTCTCTCTCATGCGCGAGGTCAGGCAGCCTTTAAGATCACGTGTCTGCTTTGCTTCATTTAGCCTCCAGAGTGATCCTCCTGCCTCAGCCTCCTAAATGCTGAGTTTACAGGTGTGCCACCACACCTGGGTAAAAAGCTGATTTTAGGGGCCTGGGAATAGCTCAGCAGCAGGGCACCTGCCAGGCAAGCATGAGGTCCTGAGTTTGATTCCCAATTCCAAAAAATAAAATAAAATAAAATGGTGATCTTTAGAAATAAATAAAGCCTGAAAAATGTTTTGACTTTCTACCTTTTTAATATGTAAGCCAGGAGCAGGGCATGGTGGTGCACGCCTATAATCCCAGCACTCAGGAGGCTGAGGCAGGAGGATCATTGAGAGTTCGAGGCCAGCTTGGGCTACAAAGTAAGCTCAAGGCCAGCTTGAACTACATACTGAGATCTTGTCCCAAAAAGACGGGAAAAAAAAGAAAGAAAGAAACCAATAAATAAATATTAAGAGAAGTAAAAAGGGCTGGGGATTTAGCTTAGTGACACAAGGGCCTTCCTGGCAAGCGCAAGGTCCTGAGTTTGACTCCCATTAGCAAAAAAAAAGAGAGAGCGAGAAAAGGAAAGAACATCAAGAAGGAGGCTGAGTGTGTGGCACATGTCTGTGATCTCAGCTATTCAGGAGTCTGAGGCAGGAGGATTACAAGCTGAAGGACAGCCTGGGCAATTTAGGGAAACCCTGTTTTAAAATTTAAAATAAAATAAAAACCAAAAGGGCTGGGATACAGCTCAGTGCTGCCTGTGTCTTATCCCGAGTACAGGAAAGGGTGGAAGGATGAAAAAAAGGATGGAAGGGGGGAAAGAAGGAAAAAATAAAAATAAATAAAACATAAATTACACTGGGTGCGGTGGCACACACCTATCATCCCAGCACGGGAGAGGCTGAGGCAGGAAGATCACCGCAAGTACAAGGCCAGCCTGGGCTAGACAGTGAGACCCTGTCTCAGAATACATTCATTCATTAATTAAAATAAAATGAACTGGAATGATGGACTTCACTGAGCAGACTTGGCAGGCAAAACATGAGCTCCTATACGTTTGGAGGTGACACGCAGACCCTCTGCAGCCCTGCGCCTGGGTTACCCCTACACACACACACACACACGCACACATGCACACACACACACACCACTCCTGAGCTCCAAGATTTACCCTGCAGTGCCCAGGCGCCAGCCTTCGGGGTACAGCACCAGGGGCCCCACAAACTGGCCGTCTTCCCGGCCCGCGCAGACCGGGGCTCTGCAGCTGGTCAGCAATGAGGACATGTCAGAGTGACAAATCGGGGTCCCCACCTCGCGGTCACCCAGGAGGGTCCGCAGGCTCCGGGAGAGTCCAAAGGCGGAGCTGGCGGCAGGGAGGAGAAAGGGCAGGGGACAGACTCCAGCCAGAAGCCGGGAAGCTGGGAGAAACTTTCCCTTGTCTTTGTTTTGAGACAGGGTCTTGCTCTGTAGTTTAAACTGGTCTTGAACTCACTATGTAGCAAGGCTGGCCTCCAACTTCTGGTGACCCTCCTGCCTCAGCCTCCCTCACCCTCCTAAGGAAGAACTTTCTCTCTTGCAAGGGTAATAAACTCAGGTGGGGGAGGACAAGGCAACAAGATGTCCCTGATGGGGGTGCTCTGCCAGCTAGGGGGTGCTCCGCCAGCTAGGGGGTGCTCCGTGGTGTGGCCGGGGGCCAGGCAGTGAGCTGTGGGGCGTGGGTGTCAGTGGGGGGTCTAACTTAGCACCTGGAGACGACCTCTGAATCCACCCTTCGCTCCTGGGGGCTTCTGGGGAAAAAGGTGTTGATTTAAACAAATGATACACAACTTGTGAAATACGACTTTTCCCACGCCAGGGAACTGTGTGCTCGCCCCTGTGCTTAAACCCTTGAAGTATCCAGTTGCCCTCCCAGTGTGCAGTTCTGGGACTTGCGGGGGGCTGTTCCTGAAATTTTTGTTTGCTTTTTCTTTTCTTTTCCTTCTTTCCTATAGGGACTGAACCCAGGCCCTTCTCACTGTGCTATATCCACAGCCCTTTTTATTTTTTATCTTGGGATAGGATCTCACTAAGTGACTAAGTCATCGAGGCTGGCCTTGAACTCATGGAGATCCTCCTGCCTCATCCGCCTAGAGTGCTGGGACTACGCACATGAACCAGCACCCCTGGGTTTGTCTTAGTACATTATGTTTTTCTAGACTTCAGGCTGCCACGTGGGTCTCAACGAAAAGAAGGAACAATTGAGATCTGACCCCGTCTCAGTCAACATTTCCCAACCTAACTGATTTTTGTCTTATTAAGAAGATGCCTAGGGGCTGGGGATTTAGCTCAGCGGCAAAGCGCCTGCCTGGCAAGCGCAAGGTCGTGAGTTCGGTTCCCGGTACTGGAGAAAAACCAAAAAAAAAAAAGAAAAAAAAAAAGAAAAAGAAGATGCCTAGAGCCTGCAGGCCTGGTGGTGCACGC